TAAGTACATTCCTCCTACTACGCAAATAAATACTGCTTCCTCTGGCTGTAAGTGCGGCTTCCCTTCACGTGAGCAGGGAGATTTTGTTTTCCTTCTCTAAATGTAAAAATAAATTGGAGTTTTTGTGAAAATGTCATTGATTCTGGTTGGAGGAGATTCTTAAAATAGCATATTTTTCTGTAGGTCACATGTCCATAACATTGTAAATTCCTTGCTGGGATAGGGACAATCATCTTTGTAGCTCCCACAGGATGCAACAAAGCACTTTTCAAGTACTAATTACTGCAATTGCTCAATAAATGTCTGTTGGAAAAACCTGCGAATAAAGTTGTAACAATAAAATGTAGACGTACGTAGGAAAGATAAAAGCCACCAGACCAAATGGTAGGCATCACTGTTTCCCTCGGTTTGGTCGATCACCAAACCCGGGCCCTAAACTTATCTCATAAATGTATTCCCAAGGGGCAGGTCCCTCAACCTGGCAGGGGCGGAGGGGGCCCCTTCCCGCCGCCTCCTGGACTGCTCTATGCTTTGCCCTCTCAAATTTCCCGGCCTGATCCTGGGCCCCAAGACCTCAGTGGACACCCAGAGACCGCCCGTCCCCCAGTACAGCCAGAAAACTGGCGCAGAAAGGCTAGGAGCCCAGGGCAAAGTAGCCTAGCAACTGCAGGCTCCCGCTGCAGGCTCCCGCACATGCTCCCTGGCTTGACCAAGGTCTCGGTGAAACCCGCAGAATCCACTTGTCCACATTTTGGAGGTGACCTAGAAGAGTGTACAAATACACTAGCTCCGCAAAGAAGGAAGGGACCTGGAGGTAACAGAGAGCAGACGGGCGGAGGCTTCTCACAAAACCCGGAAAATTCTTCCGGATCCACTCCGATGGCATCCTTGCGACCCCGGACATGCGCATTAGCCTCCCCGGCGGCGGCGGCGGTTGGCCGAGTCTCCGGAGCCGGAAGATTCGGCCACTTCAGGCCGGCGGCCCAACACTTCGTGGGCCATGTCGGCCCAGGGGGACTGTGAGTTCCTAGTGCAGCGAGCCCGGGAGCTGGTGCAGCAGGACCTGTGGGCAGCCAAGGCTTGGCTGATCACGGCCCGCAGCCTCTACCCCGCCGACTTTAACATCCAGGTGAGGTCAGGCCGTGCGTGCGGCCGCCTGCGTGGAGGTGTGATCCTCTAGCTGCGCCCGGTGCGGGGGTCGGTCGCCTCCTGCCGGCCCGCCCCCTTCTCCCTCTCCTTTCCCGCTTCTCTCTACACACGCACACCCCGCCCCCTTCTCCCACACCTTTCACA